ACAAAATGCACAAGTGTAAATTCTGTGAATACGAGACAGCTGAACAAGGGTTATTAAATCGTCATCTTTTGGCAGTTCATAGCAAGAACTTTCCCCATATTTGTGTAGAGTGTGGTAAAGGTTTTCGTCACCCATCAGAGCTCAAAAAGCACATGCGAATCCATACTGGGGAGAAACCGTACCAATGCCAGTACTGCGAATATAGGTCTGCAGACTCTTCTAACTTGAAAACGCATGTAAAGACTAAGCATAGTAAAGAGATGCCATTCAAGTGTGACATTTGTCTTCTGACTTTCTCAGATACCAAAGAGGTGCAGCAACATGCTCTTATCCACCAAGAAAGCAAAACACACCAGTGTTTGCATTGCGACCACAAGAGTTCGAACTCAAGTGATTTGAAACGACACATAATTTCAGTCCATACGAAGGACTACCCCCATAAGTGTGACATGTGTGATAAAGGCTTTCATAGGCCTTCAGAACTCAAGAAACATGTAGCTGCCCACAAGGGTAAAAAAATGCACCAGTGTAGACATTGTGACTTTAAGATTGCAGATCCGTTTGTTCTAAGCCGCCATATTCTCTCAGTTCATACAAAAGATCTTCCCTTTAGGTGTAAGAGATGTAGAAAGGGATTTAGGCAACAGAATGAGCTTAAAAAGCATATGAAGACACACAGTGGCAGGAAAGTGTATCAGTGTGAGTATTGTGAGTATAGCACTACAGATGCCTCAGGCTTTAAAAGGCACGTCATTTCCATTCATACGAAAGACTATCCCCACCGGTGTGAGTACTGCAAGAAGGGTTTCCGAAGACCTTCAGAAAAGAACCAGCACATAATGCGGCATCATAAAGAAGTTGGCCTGTCCTAACAATTCTTCTACAGACCTTTGTAGAGATACTGGCCTTGAAACAGAAAATACATTTTAAAGCCAATCAGTCTTGTTCACCTACAATACTGTATATTGATTTATGCTGTGTACAAATAGAACTATTGCTTCTAGTTGACTTTTTTTTTACATTTTGTTCAATAGTGTGTTCTGAATTCTATTCAGTTTGTTTAATAAATGGGGAAAAGTGGCAACAAGCTAGTTGCTTTTAATAAAGTAATCCTTGATTCTATACTGAATTTTTCTATCTTAGAAGTTTTATATTTATTTAAATATTTACCTTGCTTACCTTGATGGTACTCTTCTAAGACCATTTAACTTAAGGTAACTTTAGATTGGTAATTCTGAAAGTGTTCATGTTGACTCATATTTTTTCCCCATGAATTTCTCACAATAAAATTGTCAGAGACATCTACTAATATAAATGGGAGATTTTACAGTCAGGTCTAATTATCATAACATGGAAGTCATTTACTTGACTTGTTTAACATCTTCAGACCACATGACAAAGTTTCCGTTTGAGCTTTTGTGTCCCCACTGTCTCTGACTTAAAAAACAGTGGCTGGGTTCGTGTTTACTTTTCATTTTGTTTAAAAGACAAAACATACTTCTTTTGGCTTTCTTTGGACTATTTACATCTTTTGTCAGCGTAGCATACTTTTAGAAAACCTTATGGAAAGGTTTTGCTTGATCCTGTTGTATTTTGATTATTCTGTCTGTGCTGCTTTGTCTTGGAATGGTTGTGCTACAAATGAGACTTACTGAGGACTGCATTTTGGAATCTCCTAGAGGTAACTCGTGGCTTATAGGATCTTTTGCAACTTTATATATGTTAATTTACCCTGAATTATATATATACATATATATAACATGTATCTGTGTGTATTGCTTATTTTACATATTTATACACACAACCCCAAGTAGTAGTTGTTTAAAATCTATAATGAAAAGTATTAAATTTACAATAACATGAAAGATCCAGGGATGCATGAGAGAGCATTTTGTAAGTCATGCTCTTCAGAGAGACTACTCAGGTGAAGAATTAGAAGGAAAATAAGGACACTAGTATTTTTAAAGAGTAAAGGTATTTTCTTTCAAATATTTTTGGTAATTGAGAAATAGAAAGTTAAGATGTTTCTAGATAGAATGTTTTCATACAGTTTCAGCTCCATGCCTTTATATTTTTCTGAAAAGCTAATGAATATCTAGATATGACTCCCTCAGTTTTCTGAGAAGCCCGAGAGAGAGCTCTTGTCTCACCATGTGCGGGGGACGGAGAGGAAGCGATGGTTCCGCGGACCAGAGAATGGGTGCTAATTATGACCTAACACTTGGCGTGTCCGGCCTGCTCTGTTACTTAGTACAGTTAGGGAACTTCAATAACTTAACACTCAAGTTGGCCCTGATTAGACAATAGAGGTGTTTCAAGTGCATAAGGAAAGTCTGAAGCCTTATTTGGAACATCAAGTCTTCCACAGTTTTGTTTTTCTTTGAGAATTGGCATTTTTTAACAGGTAGGTCCGAATCAGAGTTACTCATTTGTAAAGTGAACTCGGCTACTTAGAATTCGATGATGTTAAGATGAATCTTGGAGAACAGTGAACTGTTTGGGGGCTGTGTAAATTGCTGTTGGCACGTACTAATCGGGCACATCATGGGAGATTTAGTGATTTTCTTCCCACTTGATAACTGCCTTGCCGCCTCATTATGGTGCTCCATCCCCGTTGTGCCGTCAGGTTTTTACCTTTTCATCTTTCTCTTTGTTATCCGTATTTGTATTCGAGTTCGAGTTACGTTTTTAGGGTTAGAAGTCGAAATATTAGGTGTTTGGCCTCTGAAGTACTAGATTGATATAGTCTAGTTCTAAAGTGCTCTCGACTGGTATGAACTGCAACCCCACTGCCAGTCAAAGCCAAGGCACAGTTTTCTAGCCTATCCCATAGGGAAGTCCTGTGTCACCTTGGCCCCATAATGTGCTTTTTTTTTTTCTTCTTTTTTTAAAAAGTAACTTACAATTGTGTGATTCATTGCCCTCTAGTCTTGAAAGCTCTGTCTGTTATTTTGTGAGAACCTTTTAAATCTCCTTTAATTTTTATTTTCCCCAGAAATAATGTAAAAGAAAACACTTAAATAAAAGTGGAAATTTATTAATTTTTAAATGTCCTGTAAAGTACAAAAAATATAAATGATTGGGTCATTTAACTATATTTTTTTAAATAAACTGAAAGATAAAGAACACAACACTTTACACACTTTATATTTCTCTTACATAATCTGGAATCATACACAGTTCTTTTCTTTTTAAAGCACAATATTAAAACCTTTAAAAGGTATTTAAGGGTTTGGTCAAGTGAATATGATAAAATGTATTTGTCTGTATAAAGAGAAAATGAAATTGTAGTCACTGTTATGTACTGACATTAGTTACAACCTAGTTTTAATTCTTAAAACAATTTTGATTAGCAAAGCTAAAAAATTGATGTTTCAGTTAAATGTTTTAAAGAGGTACAGATTTTAAAAAGGACATAATATAAGTTATTGTTCTGTAGAAATATCCTATTAAATATTGTATGTCCCTCTCTCTGTACACTTTGTAAAAAAAAGTAAAATACATAAAAAGAAAATCATATAGGGATGTGTGACATTATTGTAATTGTGTACTTGAGAAGAATGTGCAAAAATAAAAATCAGAATATTTTCCTGTTAATAAATGTTTAGTCTATTTGATACCAGTACTAAGTTAATGCTTATTCTTAAGGAAAAAAATGTACAGTTTTTGTAAACCTAATAAACATCAAAAGCAGTGGATTATTTTCATTTCCTCCATTTCTTAATTCCTTTTATGCAGCAATGGAATGCAAAATGCTTGATTGCTTTGAATTTTGTGACTCGGATGCAAATACTGATAGTATTTCAGTCCTGTGAATTTGCAAGTAATATTTCAGAGAAGTTAAGAGGTGATTGGTGAGTCCTTTGATGAGTATGTCCTTGAAATTTATTTTTTTCCTTTTATCGCCATAATGGATTTATTTTATTAGCATCTTCAATTCCCTTGAGATAAATTACCTATGCATAAGGTAGTTTTTGAGAGCACTTAAAAATTCATTTCAGTATCAATCCACAGCACATTTAATCGGTGGGGACTGTTAGCACCTCCACAGCCGAAACCCTGGCCTTAAGTTACCCCTGTGTGCCCAGTTTGGAGGACTCTAATAGACAGTAACTTACCAGAGAATGGTAATTGTTATAGTAAAAATCGGAAGTTAGGTAAAAGATTTGCGCCATCTCTTGACTATAAAGATGGGATTCTGCAGTTTTTCAACTGTCGGACAAAGTGCTTACCTCGTAGTTGGAGCTGTGAATCAAAATGAGGTAAATGATTTCAGAGAACTTGTTGGACGTCACTGTGCAGAGCCACAAATCAGACAAAACCATAGTCTGCTGAAAAACTTAATTGTAATACAACACCCAACAAATGCCATCTAACCAATTGTGACCCAACCAGTCAGATAACCTGCTACTCTGTGATCCTCTGTATCAACAATTTCTTTCATTTCCCACAAATTCTAGGGTCGATGTCAGGAAAAGGATGACCAATACATAGCTTAAAGAGGAGCTATCTCAGAGCACTGGTTTTCAAAATGTGGCTGGCGGCACTGGTAGCAACAACAATTATCTGGGACTTTGTTAAACGTGAAAATCCTCAGCTCCACCCCAGTCCCTCTGAATTGGAAAATAAAACTTGGGACTCAGTGGTTTTAACAAGTTCTCCAAGTGATTCTGATACATGGACTCAAGTTTTGGGAGCACTGTTATAGAGCACTTGCGGAACTTAAAAGATCACTGGTGCAACTTTTTGTGTGGTAAGGCAAGAAAATCACAAAAACAAGACAAAAAAACTAGGAATGAGTAATGAAGGTAAAATAGGACCCAGTTTGTGCCTTTGGCTTACCCTTTTATAAATAGCCCACTATTCGATAAGTTTGTCCTTTAGTGGACGTTGAAGTAGCTTGCACTTCCTGAATCTTGTATGGCGTCTCATGGTTACATTCCTCAAAGGTGAATAGAATTCAGCGGAAGAGTCAGCAAGTAAAAGAAGAGCTGAATAACGTGTGTGTGTATGTGTTTAATTGGCCCAGGGTTACTTAAGTAATTCAGATCCAAAAAACCATTTTGCCACATTCTGCAGCTGTTTAGATAAGGTCAAAATTAAGTTTGCCCTATGGATTTTGTTTTTATCTTTTGTTCTGTGTATATATTGTTTGCTTTTTTCATAAAATAATTCTTGGATTTGTTATATCTTGTTCCTGTTATTTTTGACATCTTTGCTATTGTAAATAAATTCCTATTTTGTTTTAAGTTACCCTAGTGGAGTCTTGGCTATAGACAAGGCATACACTGACACATAGACACACACACAACACGTGTGTGCACACTCACACACAGAAATGAGACTTAAATCACATGGAATACATTTCCAACTTACCATAAGCTTGCTATACTACCCCTTCAGTAGTTAAACACTTCCTAGCATCAAGGAATGCATCTCTGTCGTATATAAGCATTGCACATATTTAGATTTTAATATCATTTTCTCATCTCTAATATGGAAATACTCAATTCATCAAGTTTGAAATCAAAATCAAGAATTATTTTTGTTTACTTTGTTTTTCCTATTCAGTTGGTCTGTGTTACTTGTATTACAGGTATTGGTGAGTGCAAAAGATTTGGCATTGTGACCTGTCGATACTGTAAAGCCAGTAGAATACTTTGCTACTGACAGCCTCCTTAGGAATTGCAGACTGTGTTTAGCTATGTGAACTACCACAGAAATAATCTAAACATGTTGACTAAAATTACAGAATAGTTAAACTAGGCCTATGTTATTTTACTTTGCAAGAGAGACCAGTTTCTGCTGGTATTTATTACAAAGCCATATACTGGGGTTTTGGGGTTCTGACCATGCCCGTCCTCCCCTCTGGATTCCAAACACATTGGAAGTAGACACAAGAAAGCCCCGATTGAGTGTGACTTTGGTAAAACACAAGAAACCACTGAGTGAGTGTGACATACTTGGTGAAACTATTGGGAGACCCAGAGGATGAAATGAGTTTACCTCTAATCTGTTTCCCCCGCAATCTGGGCCTTTATAGTCACTCAAGAGCATGAGGCTCACTTTCCACTCCTGAGCTACAGGAGACACTAGTGGGGCTCCAACCAGAGAAATGGTGCACCCTCCCCAGCCCTTCCAGGCTGGTACACATGAAAAGGCCAAGAAGGGTTCCCTTATGCCATCCTCATAAGGATGACCTCAGAGGTCAAGTCCAATTCTGGAATGGCCTGTGCCATAGCACACTAACTGTGACGTTTTCCCTTTCAGCTTCGTGTATTTGTGTCCATTTCCCCCTATTGATATTTACTGCTCTCTATTAAAGTGGTGCTTATCACACATTTTCAAAAGTTCAGTTCTTGTTTCTTCCAAGGCAGCATGCTTTAATTGTTAAGAAAAAATATTTTTAAAGGATAGATTAGCTTACTATACAAAGAAGGGTGGGAATCTTACCAGTTATTTTTTATTCCATGCTTATTTTTTTTTGGAGAGGTTTTTTTCGTTATAGAGCGTGTGCGCTCTCCAGACAGAGAGAGACATAGAGACAGAAAGCGAGAAATCACCCCCCAGAGGGGATGGTCACGCCGCAATCCCTTCTCCATTCTCCTCTCGGGATCTTGGGCACGCACGCACACGCGCCCGGCGTGAGTTTTAAGCCACCGGGTCCAGGACGCAAACCGCGGTCGACTACATGGGAGTCCAGCGACATAGCCATTACGCTAACTGCTGGTTCCCTATTCCATGCTTTTGTAACAGAAATTGGAAAAATGTTCACCCACATGCCACCTTCTTTCTTAAAGGGATTGTTTGTCTTTGTTCTCTTCTGATTAGTCCACACATAAAATATTTAGTCTGTCGTTCAACCAATGCATTAATTCTATTTGATGTTCTAAAATTTTCATTTCGAATACCAAGTGCATTTCCATATCTATTGGTTGCCTTTATAAACATTTTTGTGTTTTGGTGTGGTGTGTGTGTGTGGTACGTGGTGTTTTAGACAGAGTCTCACTATGTCAAGATCCTTCTGCTTCAGTCTCCCAAGTAGCTGGGACCACAGGTGCACACCAGCACACCTGGGTTTTTCATGTGTGTTGGGAGTCAAACCCTGGCCTCCCATGTGGCTTCAGCCTGCTAAGCAGCAGCGTCCAGGGTGTGCTTCTGTAGCTGGGCCTAATTTTTTTTTTTTCTTTAAGCACATTCTTTAAAGGGGATATGAAAAATTCAGAATGTGGGACCAGTAGTTAGCGTAATGGCTATGTTGCTGGACTCCCACGTAGTCAACCGCGGCTCGAGTCTCGGACCCAGTGACTTAAACTCACGCCGGGTGCGTGTGCGTACGTGCCCAAGATCCCAAGAGGAGAATGGAGGAGAAGGGATTGCGGTGTGGCCATCCCCTCTGGGGTTGATTTCTCGCTTTCTATCTCTCTGTCTCTGTCTGTCTGTCTGGCGAGCGCACGCGCCCTATAGCAAAAACCTCTCCAAAAAAAAAAAAAAATCCAGAAATGTACAAAGACCATTCCACCTAAATCTTATTACCCAGAAAGTTGTTATCCTTTAAAAAATGCCTTTACTGAGTTTTAATTTTATTAGCTTTATTCAATTGCAAAATACTTGTTGTAACTAATGTCCAATACAAAGTAAGTATTAATACAGAATTATCTCACCCCCATATTTCCTTAAGTCAATTTCCTTGAGGTAATCATAGTTAACAGATTATAAACCTTCCCTTCATATCATCGAAGCTGTATAAGATAGTTTTAAAGAAATCAAGTGGTGTGGAGGGGATTTCAAGTGTTTTTGATCAAAATGAGATCCCATGTGTTTTCAAGTCACTTAACGGATCATTTCCATGCCTCTGGGCAGTAGACCATATTCTTTCTCATTCTCTAACTGCTGCATAACTTAATCAGAGATTGGACATACCACAATTTAGTCGATATTCCTCTTTTGGTGGACTTTTAGCTTGTTTCCAGTTTTCTGCCCCTACAAGGATGCTGGCGTAACTTCTGTGCATACATTGGGTCGTCGTGAAAGTCATGGTGCATTTTTGCATAGAAAAACACGTCATGACTTTCCCAGTGACCTAATAATTCTTACATTCTTGTACTTTGATTTTTGCATAATAGATTTCCCCAAGATGTGATTGCCAAGTGAATGTTTTATGTGATAATCTCCTTGATTGGATTGTCATGTCATATGTGCTTTGAAAAACCATACTGTGGCCTTTAGAGATGAACAGCAATTAAATCTGAATAAGAAATCACTTTTAAAAAACGTTACTAGGGGGAAAAAAAAGGGACCAGCAGTTAGCGTAATGGCTATGTCGCTGGACTCCCATGTAGTTGACTACGGTTCAAGTCCCGGACCTGGTGGCTTAAACTCACGCTGGGCGCGTGTGCGTGCATGCCCAAGATCCCAAGAGGAGAATGGAGGAGAAGGGATTGTAGTGTGGCCATCCCCCCTGGTGTGGTGATTTCTTGCTTTCTGTCCCTGTCTCTCTGTCTTTCTGGCGAGCGCACGCGCCCTATAACAGAAACCTCTCCCCCCCCAAAAATAAAAACATGTTACTAGGTCTCAGGTTTGCATGTTACATAGCGAAGCAGGCTCAGTGGTCAGGGACTAGGTAGTTCAAGTCCCTGGTCAGGACTAGGAATAGGGTCCGAGGCATTTCTGGTATGTGGGGGGGCGGTGTTTTGGGCTATTGTTATGCAAATTAAAACCAAAAAGTTACTAGAGGACTAGTCTCAGTGGCCTGAAAAACACTTCAGACAAGTGTATGCATGCTCCAAATCCCAACAGGATGGGAGAAATGGAGATGGGATTGTGGCATGACTACAATCCCCTGGAGGACACTTTCGTCTTCTCCTGTCCTTTCCTCTGTCACGTGCACGTGCCCAATTAGAAAAAGCCCGGTGGTGGGACCAGCAGATGGTGTAATGGAGTCCCTGGACCTCCACATAGTCAACCACAGTTTGAGTCCCAGAACCAGCAGCTTAAAACACACTGGGCGCATATGTGTGTGTGCCCAAAATCCCGAGAGGAGAAGGAATTATGACATGCCTATCCTCTCCTTGGGTTGATTTCTCGCTGTCTGTCTCTGTCTCTCTATGATGAGTGCATGTGTCCTATAGCAAAAATCTCTCTAAAAAACAGGGCCAGCAGGTGGCGTGGTAGTTAAGTGCATTGGACTCCCAAATGGCCAACCATGGTTCGAGTCCTGGACTTGGTGGCTTCCGTTCTCACTTTCCCTCTCTCTCTCTGGTCAAATTGGAAAATAAAGTTAAAATAAAAATGAAAAAAAAAAAAAAAAGCCCTGTGGCAAGTAAGAAAATATTACTAGGTATTACGAAGTTATTTTCTGCTAGAATGTAAATTCCAGGGGTGGGTGGATTTGTGATCTTAAAGTTTTTTTGAGAGGTGGTGTGCTGGGTAGATCCCCAAAGGTTCTTTATGTCATGTTCCATCTATAATGTGCTCAGGCAGGTTCCAGGATGTGAACCCAGAACCTTTCCCATGCAAGTCCAGCTATACCACTGCTGCACCACTGCCTGGTCCCTGTGTCTGTTTTGTTCATGGCTGTTAGCCTTGAATAGAGCAGTACATAGCAGTTGCTGAAGAAATATTTGTTGAGTGTTGACATTTGCAGGGTTGTAGCAGTCACACTCCCACAGCAATATGAGGGGTTATTCCTCTTAGCCTTGTAAACAGTAGGTGTTAGGGCCAGCAGATGGCATGACGGTTAAGGCAGTTGGATCCCATATGTCTGAATGCACGGTTTGAGTCTTGGATCTGGCAGCTTGAAAAAAAAAAAAAAAAACACTGGGCACATGTGCATGCATGCCCAAAATCCTGAGCGGAGAATGGAGGAGAAGGGATTTCAGCATGACCCATCCCCCATGAGGGAGGGGGGTAATTTCTCACT